TACAAGAGCTCTTTTTAAGCTTATTGAATTGTATAGCATAGAGGCTCTCTTTCGCGCGTAGGGGGGTGCAAATCAAATCCCAAAATGAGATTGAAAAGGCTCGGCCTTGCCATGGCTCTTGGGTTTTAAGATAATGGTTGCAGTTGAGTTGTAGGGGTGCCTTTAAATGCTACTTACTCCAACAACAGCCCTATATAGTAGAGAGGGTAGGGAAGCAGAAAATTTACACAACAAGAAAGTATAATTTTCAACCTCAAAACTCTCTGCTTCTACTCTTTCTTAGTCGAATTGTGTTCAAAACGTTGCTTGGAATTCCTTGTTTGGGTGCTCAAATATTGAATCGTAGCAAGTTTTATCCTGGAAAGCCTAGACTATAACGCTCAAAACTCTCTGCTTCTACTCTTTCTTAGTCGAATTGTGTTCAAAACGTTGCTTGGAATTCCTTGTTTGGGTGCTCAAATATTGAATCGTAGCAAGTTTTATCCTGGAAAGCCTAGACTATAACGCTCCTAGCACTTGTGGGAGGTAGCAAATAAGGTTACATTGAATCGTAGCAAGTTTTATCCTGGGAAGCCTAGACTACAACGCTTCTAGCATTTGTGGGAGGTAGCAAATTAGGTTTTAAGGAAAGAGTGATCGCTTGACTCTTGCTAAAAACCCTACACCAAACACCAGTCTTTCTCTTCACATTTCCTTCCCTTTTTTCCTACAGAAAATAATAATCCTTATTTTTGTGGGATTATTATTTGTTTTTACCAACAAGATATCCATCATACACGAGGTAAACCTTACTTTTGTGTAATAACCTGCATACAATTGAAAAAAAAAAAAAAAAAAAAAACACTATAAAGACTAGCAACCAAAAATTTATTGACAAGAGTCAAACTTATTACCTTTTAGAATATAATAGAAATTGTTGATTTTAAGACTATAGAAATCGTTGGTGGGACAACCCTACCACTCGAAAACAATGTATATTGCTATGAGGAAAATTAAGGTCTAGAAATATGAAATGCTATTATTGCTTTAAGAACAATGAATTGTAAACTTTTTACTATACATGTCATATTTTAAGATATTTATATTGTTCCATCTACTCATTTGAGGTGTTCGATTAAATTAAAAAAAAAAAATGGTATAAAAGGTTCTGACAGTCTTTTGTCAGATTAGCAAACTTGATACAGTAATAAGTTTGCTAACCATGTCAGCATAAAAAATTTTATTTTTTAATGTGCCAACTGATCATCTAACAAGGGAAGTATTGGCTGGAATAAGGACTGCCTTACACCAAGTTTGAACACTTAAACAAATCAGATACCATATTTCAGACCACTCTGATCGATCTTACCCAATCATCAAGAGTGATGCTCCACCTTTGGCAGGCCAGGCCAATTATTAGTTATTTGGATGATAGCATAAACATATTGGAGTAGATGTTGACTAGAACACTATCAAATCATACTACTATATGAATATGATGCCCATCCGGTAAGCCCGGGATTCCATTTTTCTTGCCCACACCACCCTATGCTCACACTCGTTCTTCAATATATCACATTATCACTACACGTACTATCCAAAACCAACAACGTGACGGGTAGAATTGTTTTTTTTTTTTTTTAGAGAAAAATAATACGAAGTAGTATTGTTTTTATCCCTTATAATGATTATACTCCTTCACATGACAAAATATATATATATAAAGAGTAAGATGTTTAAAAAAAAGAAGATTGAATACAATATAATGAGTTGTGGAAGTGAAATTTGGGAATGATTTTAATAAGCAAAGGAGTAGTAGTTTGACTTAAAAAAAAAAAGAAGGTTTTAATCTTATAATATATTTCTTGTATTGCCTATTAATATCCATTCATTGATATAATTAAAAAATGATAATTTGTTTTCATTTAAATTACGTAACAAGAAGGTAAGATATGGAGATGGATAACGTTTTCGATCTTTAGCTTCTTAAGCTAGCTAGCTAGTAGTCGATTTTTGTTTGTAAGTGACTAAGTGCATTGCTCAAATTGTTAAAACTATACACATCATTAGTCCATGGTCTTGAATAAAAGATCATGCCCTGTTAAGCTACAACAAAAAATTTGTGGCATGGTCTAACCTAGAACAAATCCTTTAATTTTGATCAACAACATTAAAAAGACAAAGGTCATGTTTGATAAATGACTGTTAGTTGATTGTGTTAATTAGAGGGTATAAATATTAAATAGTTGATAACATTAGCTGATTGTGGAAAAGTGTTTGGTAAAGTTAGCTGATAGTTGTTTGGTATAATTTCTTTTCTCAAAAAGCTAATTAAAAAAGTTGTTTGGAGTAACTTTTTGAATTTTAGCCTTTTAGAGTTGCAAAAAGCTAATTAACCAAACATTTATATTGATATTTTAACTAAATCAAACAAGTAATAGTTGTCAAATAAGCCAAAATTGACCTATTGGCCAATTTTTTACCGAACAGGGCCAAAGTATTTTTTTTTTTCATTATCACTTCATGATAATTATAATTTTAATTGTAGTTGTTGACGGTGTCTATCCACTAACATAGCAAAAAAAAAAAAAAAAAAAAAAAAAAATTGTTATGCAGTCAAACCGTGTCCACCTTACAAGGTGGACACGATTCGAATATGACGTCGTTTGACAATTTTGGAGTAACGGTGCCACTACCACCATTTTCCTCCACCAATTAGATTTTAAAAAAAAAAATTGTCAAAACAACCCAGCGAGACAGTTGTGAATATAGAGTTCAAGAATTATGAAAATAGAGTTTAAAAATTACTCCGTATGAACATATAGTTCTATAATTATGAACATAAAGTTCAATAATTGTGAATATGGAGTTCAAAAATTATGAACATAAAGTTGAGTAATTATGAACATAGACTTCTAGAATTCAAAAATTATAAATATAGAATTCTATAATTATGAATATGAAGTTTAAAGTTATGAACATAGAGTTCTATAATTATGAACATAGACTCCTTGAAGACAAACGCCGTTAACAGCGAAAGAAAATAAATTTCTTTTTTAATAACACGGTCTCGTTTTCCACCAAAACCACAGCATAATTCCCCCCCCCCCCCCCCCCTCCCAAAAAAAAAAAAAAAAATACTCCGTATGTAACTAGTTCTTCTTTTATATATATATATATATATATATATATATATATATATATATATATATATATATATATATCATTTATCGTCACCTCTATTTAACCACATAACTATTTTTTTTTTTTAAAAAAAAAAAAAAAAAAAGAAGAAGAAAAAGTGGGTGTCCGTACTGTCTGCTAAATAATAGAGAAGATTACTTAATTAAGAAAATAATTAAATCAAACTCTTGTAATTTGCAAACACATATGATACCAGCCAGGTTAAAATGCAATGACTACATTATATTCTTCATCAATTCAATCCGAATCTATTCAATCTGCTAAAAATGTGCAAACACCTACTTAACTAACATATATAACCCGGCCCCGGCCTTATTATCACTTGTAATGACATGCAGAAAGTGAATTAAAGATTTATGAAAGAAATGCATGCTCATAATAGATTATTTATGATTTCATATTCAATTCTCCTTTTTATATATATATATTTTTTTTTGAAAATCCTTTATATATATATATATATATATGAAATGATAAATTTAACCTCATCAGATCACCATCCAATTGCTAGTGACAGAGTGTTTGGTTGGAAGGGATGAATTATGGGGGAAAGGAATTGTAATTCGGTGCGAGAAGAATAATGTAAGAATAAAGTAGGAATTCAAATTACGTTGTTTGGTGGAGAGAAATAGAATTTTGGAGTTGAGAAGGAAAAAAGTGGTATAAAGACTAAAATATCCTTGTGTAATAATAATTAATAATAGTAATAACAACTAATGATAGTAATGTCATTTCATTTGTTTTTCCTTTCTTAAATTCATTGAATTGCAATTCATGGGATTACCCCATGAATTACAATTCAACAAAAAAAGGAAATTGTAATTTTGTGGAATTGCAATTCCCTCCAATCAAACAATGTAATTGAAGCATCTGTTGAATTGCAATTCAACTATAATGAAATTATAGTCAACCAAACGCACTGTGAGAGTGTATAGTACGTAATAATCATATGTATCGCAGGCGGCAGGCCGCAGCCGGGTTTTGAAGAAAATCAAAGATAATAATCCAGCTAGCTTTTTCGGCACATCATCATATATATATATATATATATATGCATAGAGACTGCAAATCTGATGTGATATGATATGGATCTACCTAGCTTAGCTATGGCTAAAACCCAGTCTGATGAATCTACAACAATCTGCATCCACACTACTTCTTCTGATCTCCATCTTATCACTCTATCCCATCCATCATATCATATATAATCATCACAACACTCAGATCACTCACTCCACATACAAACAAACAAACATAACATATGGATCCAACAATTCACTTCCATCTACTACTTTCAATTCCTATCTTTCTTTTAATATGGGTTTTCATTTTTAATTTTTTTTTATAAATAAGAAATCATCAAAATGAGATAAAATCAGATAATTATTTTCAATGATTTCCCATGTTTTCAATTCCTTACTGTTTTATTCCCAGGATAGAATCCGCCTAAGCAACTTTTTCACATGCAATGGATTATATCACCAAAAACGTAACCTCTTTATAAATAATATAATATATTATATGGATGGATGTACCTAACTCAAGGAAACCCTTATGATTATTCCCATGCCACTTTGGTCAACACTATCGTAACAAACCCTCTTCCTTTTCCTTGTTTTTAAGGTCACATGATCCCTCAAACATTTCAATATTATATTATATATATGTTTTCTTTTGCATCCAATATAATCGTCACCATGCACTCAACACTCATCGTCTGATCTCCTACAACTACTATTACTAAGGATCATATATGTAGTATACACTTACACACACACAACATTAATTAATTAATTAATTAAGTTTTTTTTGGGTTATATTATTTATTTGTTTGATAATTAAGTACATAATAATAATAATAATATAATGACGCCCTTTTTTCAGTTAATCGCCAATTACCTCGTGGTTGAGGCACATGGAGGCCGTTGGGTCGTCCGTTACCGCGTTTCCACCGAAAGTTGTTGTGGCGGCGGCGCCCCAATTTCCGGCGGGAGGCGGTGGTGGTGGCGGCGGCGGCTGGTGGTTGAGTTGGAGCAGGCGGATTTGGCGTTTCAAGAACTTGACATAGCGGATGGCTTCGTCAAGCATGGAGGCAGTGTCCATTTTGGTGCCGCCGGGGACGAGTCTCTGGAGGATTCTGATCTTCTCGCTTATCTTCTCACGGCGGAGCCTGGCGGCGACGCTCTGGGGGTCGTCGCTGATTCTGACGTTCTTGCGCTTGGGCTTGCGGATGGTGGCTGGGTCGATATCTACCGGCTGCATAGCTGCGATCTTGAACATCATCTCCTTCACAGCCCCTAGCTCCTCTTCTTCGCCCTCGTCTTCTTCTCCATTATCTTCTCCATTACTGCCGCCGCCTGCACCTAAACAAGCAGGAATCTGCAGATTTTCAGTGTGATGTTGAAAGTTACTAGGCCACACAGTCTGATCATGAAAGGGAAACTGATGATGATGATGATGATCAGCTTCCATGGGTATGCTGCTAGGCTCTCCTCCCCAACTGGAATTATCACTTATGAACTTAAGATAATGATGGTTGATGTCCATGGAGATAGATTTTTAGAGTTTAGGAATTCAAGAAACGATATATATATATATATATATATGGATTGAGGAGGCCGGCCGGCCGGGAGCTGAGATATAGATAGATCAGCAAGGTAAGGTTTAATAATAATATAATTAGATGCGAGGTGAGCTGAGATTAAATAATATAATAGGGTTAAGTTTTTTCAAGAATTGTGGAGTGTTTAACCTAGAAAAAATTGTTGCTAAAAATGGAAAAAGAGTTTGTGCCTTGTTGGTCATTAATCGGATCAAAACTGCTCAAACTCTTTTTCCATATTTTGGATGCTGCTCTCATCACTACCCTAGCTACCTTAAATATATATGGCCAGAAGGGCAACCAATTAACAGATTTTTTTTTCTTTTTTCTTTTCAAATACACAAACAGCATATACCAAAAATTTTACAACCTCGTATGACAAGATAATCATATGTATATATCTTTAGATATATTATAATACAGTGACAGAAAGTAAACTTGTAGATAGCTAGCGATTATTTTTATAAAGTCTTCTATATACGAACACTACGGTATATTTAATCTGTCTGAAACTCAATATATATACCCAATACTAGTTTATTACTTCAAAACTATACTACTGTATGTGAGCAACAAATTAAAGAATTATTAGGCTGCAAACAGTAAAATAAAAAAATGTGGAAAGATAAATAAAAGTTGTGAAAAATTTATGTGATGTTGTGGAAGAAGCTAGGGAGGGACCACCGACAAGGTAAATAAATAAAAGGCAGTCTGTATCTGATCTCTCTCACCTTCTAGCTCTGTCTCACTACAAGTATTACTAACTTGTAAGGTTTCTCTTTTTTCTGGTTTGGTGGTGTGATAGTTTTCTAGGGCTATATATATATATATATATATATATATATATATATATATATATGATTATATTGTTTTCCTGTAGATATATATATAGTGCTAGCTAGGGGTTGTAGAAATACAGGCCTACCTGGCCTTCTACTACAAGCATTGCTATATGTATCATATCATTGTTGTTTCCAAAAGGCTAAATTCCTAACTCCTCCCTCATACAGAACATCTAGAAGGAGGTAAATCATGGTACAGAAGTTAGATCACGTGGTTAAATACTGAGATTAGATCTTTGCTCGACACAAGGAGTCCCCTCACTTTGAAAGATTGCTCTTACACTGTTGCTGGTGAAAATCGATCCTGGATCATTGTTCTTAAACTTCACCTCTGTGATTAACTGAACTACCCATACCGGCAATATATATATATCATTTCATATCATCATATCCCGACCTGCACTTCTCCATGTATCATTATTTGCCTTGTTTAACTTGCTAACAATCAAACTCAATGTCATTTAACAAGAATATATAAAAGTCTACATATATAATTTGTGAAATGAGAAAATTTAAAGGTATTATTTATTATTATATTGTAATATTGTAATGAAAGAAAATTATTAATTAATAGTGGGTGATGATAAATATGTGGGTGCAGCCTACCACCTTTTTCCCTAATGGAATCATTACTTACCAAATTAAGCATCAGACATAATGCATGAAGGGTATATAGTACATTATATATTGTGGCATTTAATTAATATAATTCATTATTATATTTTCACTCATCACATGCATTTTGCGCATATAATAATTTGTTATATCAAACCCAACTAAACCAACACACAACTCTAAGAAAAATTATATTTCAAGAGTAATTAAGTTACATAAGTCACTCGAGACCAAACTCTCCGGTTGAGTCCCAATTGAAGGAGTCACAAAAAGACAAAATAGAATTTATTGCTAAAGAACAAAAATGATGATTATTATAAATCTCTCTAATTAAAACTCTAACTCTTAAAATTAACTAACAAAATTTCATATTTCTACGTACTAGATCGGTTTGTTCTAGTGTGACTCATTAACTTGTATAAATATGACTTTTCATTCATCACTTGGGAAAATATTTTGGCCCTATTTAGTAAATTATTGTAAGCTGATAGCAGTTAGCTGATTGGGTTAATTAGAGGCTATAACTAGTTGATAACATTAGCTGATGGTAGAAAGGTGTTTGGTAAATTAGTTGTTTGGTATTATTTCTTTTCTCAAAAAGCTAATTGAAAAAGTTGCTTTGAACAATTTTTAAAATTTTAACATTTTGGAGTTACAAAAAGATAATTAATCAAACACTACTTATATTAATTTTTAACCAAGTCAAACAATTAATAGTGGTCAAATAAACCAAAATTGGGTGATAAGCTAACTATTTTATCAAGCAACGCCTAGACAATAACTTACTATTCTTCATGTGGTTCATTAGCTTCTTCGCTCTTAATTAATTAATCATTTATAGCTTTAATTTGGATCAATAATACTCAACATATTAAGCGTTCAAATTAAACTACTTAGCTTGTTTTACCATGCAATATAAATTTTATATTAGTAAGTTGTGTTGTTACTTTTTAGAGCCCTAAAGTCTTAAACATATACTAACAATATTGACATTTTATTTAGTTAAAAACCAACCTATTCATTGATATATATAATTCAAATCCTATACTATACACTCTTAGTCTAGTACTCCGTATAATTTAATTACTTGGGTCAAAGTACTTATGAAGTCCCTGTACTATAATATTTTGTTCAATTTAGTCCTTATACCTTTATTTTGTTCAATTTAGTCCCTCTACTTAAAAAAGTGGTAAAACTAAGGACAATTGTTCAAATCTTATTAGAAACATGATTGTAATTATTTATTTTGGACATACTAATTTAATATATTAGTGGTAAAGTAATTAATTTTAAGTATTTATAAAGTAATATATGAGTAGGAATATAAATATCGTCAGCGCTACGTAACCTAAGTTAATGATAATATTAACACCGTTAACTATTGTCCTTAATTGCACAACTTTTGAAAGTACAGGGACTAAATTGAACAAAATAAAAATATAAGGACTAAATTGAACAAAACTTTATAGTACAGGGACCTTGTAGGTACTTTTACCAATTACTTGTTAGGTAATAATATTATCATCATCAATTAGCACATTACATATATGCATGAAGAGTCAAACTAAATAAACGTGTTAGATATATATACAATAATCATAATAATAATAATGGGAGAAATTTGGGCAACGCCCATGCCCGGCCAGAAGAAAAAAAATGGTAAAAGAAAGAAAGGAAAGGATGAAGCTGGGTGGCAAATTAAAGGCATCAACATCATTGACAACATATGATCCATATAAGGAAACAAGTGTTGGTTTTATGATGGAGGAGCTAAGGTACCGTCTAGTTTAAGCCAAAGGGTTTTTCCAAAATACACAACATACATCGTCATCTCTCTCCCTCTCTCTCTCTCTCACACACACACACACACTATATATATATATATATATATATATATATATATATATATATATATATATATATATATATATATATATATATATATCCATAATCAAGTGAGAACCTGCGAATTGCAAACTTGTAAAGGCACTTACTACATGTTTGCACCGCATTCAGAAATGATTGCACAGCAAAGTCCTCTAGACATGTCTTGGGAGCTGTAGCAATTCTTGACAAATTCGCAATTTGCAGAATAATGTTAGTCTTATTATATATATATATATATATATATATATATATATATATATATATATATATCGATCTAGATCAATGTGCCCCTGCACCACCTAGGTTGCTGATCGATGATATGATGATGGTGAGCGCACCATATTTTTCTACCTGCATGAACTAAGCAAAACACACCCTTTTTAACCTCATTTTCTCACCATACATTATACAGGCCTACAAATATCTAGCTAACACCTTAAGTACAGATTATAGGTACTATACCCATAATCATCTTAGTGGGACAATAATTATAGTGAAAGCATGCTATTATAATTCTAGTATTAACCATATAAATGTTTATAGAATTCATTAAAAAAATGACATAATTTATACAACTCAACAGAATATAAAATAGAATTATACTAAATGCCAAGTGCTTTGTGTTCGGATGGCATGTAATGACATTTCCCATAAAGGAGATTATGAGATCAAACCTTAGTGGAAGCATTGCTTTTGAAACATACAAAACAAACAGACAAAAAGAATTATACTAAACTCTCCCCCATTTTCCACCTTGTTTTTTAACCCTATGTAGAATGTTTTCTACTAATAAAAATGTTTTCACTATTTAACTTTTTTAATTTAGTGAGCCCTTTAATTAGTTTAGAATGTAATATCAGGAGGGATTCTCCGAAATGAAAAAAAAAATGAGGGGAAATAATCATTTTCCTATAATATATATGCAATTTAAATGATTATATATGAACTTAGTTTAATTTAGTATTTGGATTTTTTTTGTGTTCTTTAATTAATATGATGTATGCATGGTTAATTAGCAAATTTGATCTCGGAGCTCAACATAGGAACTTAAACATTATATATGCATGCATGCATGTAGTGTACGTGATGAAGGAACAAGCAAGCTAAGGCAGGTTGTGCTTAATTATATTGTTACAACAGAATGGGATGATATATATATATATATATATATATATATATATATATATATATATATATATATATATATATATATATATAAATGAGTGACATACATTAATACATTATATTATTCTTGCAGTGATTGCAATCGTTATGATGTGCATCGGTGTGTACCATGGTGCACACGGATGTAAAAACGAGTCGTTTTGACTAAAAACGCGCGTCCCACTGAAAAAAAAAATCAGTTTCGATTCTCCTCAACAGCATTATGTTGTTCATTGATTCGGGATTTTTAGTTCATTGATTATGGATTTTTAGACGGAAATCGAAACTGATTTTTTTTCATTCATTATGGATTTTTAGTTCATTCATTATGGATTTTTAGTTCATTCATTATGAATTTTTAGTTCACTGATTCTAGATTTGTAGTTCAATGATTCTGGATATATAGTTCAAATTATGCACAACATAATGTTGTTGCTGGGAATCAAAACGACGTCGTTTTTGCAATCATGTGCACCATGTATGGTGCACACGGATGCACGACATAATTTACCCAGTGATTGGAACCCTAAGCAATATAATATAATTGATTAAAGAGATGTGATTAAATTGTAAAATTGAGGGCAAATCACTCGGTGGACCGTGGCCCACACAAGTATGTGGATTACGGTCCAAAATGACATCGTTAAATTTTATGAGTTAGAATAATGTACATTATGTGTTAGAATAATAAATTTTTGGGGTAAAGTGGCGTACCTTATGAGTTATAATAATGTACATTATGAGTTATAAAATGTGTGTCATGCAAAAAAATAAAGTGCAAAACGATGTCTTTTTTGAACCGTGATTCACACCGTTGATAAGTATTGAAAATTGAGGGATTGGATCGAAAGCAGATGAGAGGATGGGAGAAGTAGTAATATATGCATGCAATCAAATGGTCCCAATTGAATATTGAATACATATACATAATAGAGAAAGCAAGAGACAAGCACAAAAGCTGGCCAACATTAATAATAATACAATGAAAAAGGGGGTATACTAATGCCCTCATCATAGGAACCTACCTTTATCAAAAAAGTTGGTATAAAAGGAAACCCATTTCCACAAGGATTTAATATGTTAACAGCTTAGATTTGACGATCAGAACCCCCTTTCTCTCTCTCTTTTTCTTCATTCAATATTAATTCCTGCATGCCACCCTTCAGAGCACATGCTACAATGCCAAAAGATGAGCTCGTAGATATATGGCACTCTCTTCTTCGTAAGTTACCAATTCGATTTCTAATCCTTCTCCCAAACAAATTGAATCTTCAACTTTAAAGGTCTCCGTCCCGTCTCAACAGAATATATAAGAGGAAGTAAATTATCGTAACTCAGTGACTTAGCCAAATGTCTGTGCACACAAAGAAAAAGTTTTATCCTTAAAAAAAATTATTAGATCATTAATGTGAACGGAAATTATTTATCATATCCCAAATTTGTGAATTAAAGGAAAAGGGTAAGGAAGAAATTAAAGGAAGATACATTGATGATGGGGTGTTGAAATTCAACACCAAAGCTCCTCAGAGTCCGCACAAACAGTGACAAGTTTGGAGAGAGAGAAGAGATAGTTTCCATGAATGGTAAAAGAGGGAGAAAAGTGAAAGTGAATGTTGTTGGACCATAAAGGATACTATGATAATGGTCCTCAACGGCAATTAGGTCATCCCATGCAAACCAAAGATCAGGAAGTTAGGTTTTCCAATTCTTCTTCTTTCTCATTGGGAACATACATACATACATTTTACACCCATCCTTCATTTCCATCTATCTCATCAAGAGAGAGAGAGACAGAGAGATCAGATCAGACTTTATTATATAATTATAATTATTATTATTATAATAATTTAAAGAAAGACTATATGAGAGTGGTACGGTACATACTCATTAAATTTTCAAACTTCTAATCATATGCAAATTCAATCAATAACCATGGAGGGAGTACAACATGCTTTTTCAATTAATGCTTTTGAGTAATTAAATGAGTTTTGTACCGCATCCCCAATGATGCCACTTTGTTTACAAAGCTTAGTTCCCCATACCTCCCTCCTGATAAACACAAATCACAAATGGACTGGATGCTTAAATCTATACATAACCATTAAAATAGAGCAGTTAATCTGGCATCTTGTTGTATTGCCCTTGAACGGTAGACCGTTAGTCATTTTTTACTTACAATAGACAAATGGTGTATAGGTATCTACTAAGCAGCATGAAATTAAAGTGACTGACTAACTAAGAACTTCTAGTTATTCAGTACAACCAAATCACTTATACACCTAGTCAACTTGCACCACTTAATTAAAGGCTTTAATATATATATATATATATATATATATATATATATATATATATATATATATATATATATATATTATACGGAAAAAATTTACACCGTTCACGGGTTTCCTTGTTCAAAATCTTGTAGGAGGAGAAAGTTTATGTGTTGTGGGTGAGGACCATAAATATAGAGGATATTATATTTTTACTCATATTCAAATATTGGCCTTGGTAAATGGTTGTTAGCTGATTTGGTTAATTAAAATGTATAATTAGTTGATAACATTAGCTGATTGTAGAAACGTGTTTAGTAAATTAGTTGTTAGCTGATAGTTGTTTGGTATAATTTCTTTTCTCAAAAACCTAATTGAAAAAGTTGCTTTTAGTAACTTTTTGAATTTTAGTATTTTGGAGTTGCAAAAAATTACTAATTAACTAAACACTTATATTGATTTTTTAACCAAATCAAAGATCTAATCGTGACCAAATAAGCCAAAATTAACCTATAAGCTAACTATTTTACCAAACAGGGCTATCATCTTATATATTATATCATACGAGTATACTGGTTTGGAAATATTATTAAACTTAAAAAGAATAAGTGGACAGATAAGTTACTGTAATGGGTAGTTTGGTTCAAGTAATATAATGGTCCTCTTTGGTAAATAATGGTGGTTAATTGTTAGCTGATTGTGTTAATTAGAGAGTATAACTAGTTATAATATTAGCTGTTGTAGAAAAGTGTTTGGTAGATTAGTTGTTAGCTGATAGCTGTTTGGTATAATTTTTTTTTTTCTGAAAAAAAGTTGCTTAGAGTAACTTTTTTGAATTTTAGCATTTTAGAGTTGCAAAAAGCTAATTAACCAAATACTTATATTGATATTTTAAATAAATCAAACAATTAATAGTGATCAAAGAAGCCAAAATTTGCATACAGGCCAATTTTTTACCAAACAAGACCAATATAATATGATATAATCTAACATTTCGTGAATCAAACGCCCCCTAAGATTATAGAAAAAAAAAAGTTAAAAAGTCGCCATGTTAGTGTGTTTAAAAAAAAAAATTATAATTCACCATTAGAAAGACCATGTGTGATATTTTGGTACAAGATAATACTCCACTCACACACTAATCCCTTTTAGGGCAGACTATTTAAATTATTTTGAAGTATATATTGTGGGGTTTACAGCATATATGTATCATGTGTCATTCTAATTTCCAAAAATTAAGTATCCACAGCATAGTACCTTGTGATGTTGGTACTATCTTAAACAATTACGGAGTAACTATCATTTCCACTCCTAACATTATTCTGAAGTGACAATTCTATGGTTTCCAAATGATTATCTTTGAAGACGTGATTCGGAATGCCATCTAATGTTTTTTTGTTTTTCTTTTTTTGAATGCGAAATATATAGATATGAGAAATCAATATTTTGGTTTCTTAATTGTTTTCCAATTGTCAATATAGTCCATAGTTTTCAATTTCAACCAATTTAATCTTCAAATTGTTTAAAATTTCGTTAATTAAACAATTTCAGGAACCAAATTGACGAAATTTTAAAAATGTGGAAACACCATTTTGGTCCCTGAAAGTATTTAATTAACGAAATTTTAAACAGTTCGATGATTAAATTGAAAACTAGAGACTGCATTGACAATTGGAAAACAAATGAGGAACCAAAATGATGATGAACTCTATATAGATATTTACAAAAAATTGAGACACATACATTTATTGTAGTACTAAGAAGTATATGTCCTCAAAGCAAAGCAAAGCTAGCTTTTGCATCAGTCTTGTGTTTGGTCTGGAGTTTGGACCACTTCACTGCTCTTGTACTGCATTGGATTGAGAGATATAGGCAAATAGATGGTGTACCGAGTACGTACATGGAGACAGAAGGGTTGATAACGCAGATCGAAGAGAGATTGCTCTGCTCGTATATATGCTGCATGCATTAAATATCACAACCAGACCACTGCATTAATTCACACGTACATCCAACGTCGTACTCACTCTGTCCCTTAACCTTTGAACCATAATTGAATTGGGCCTAACATTGCCCCAATCAACTTTTAAGGTCCAAATTCCGCCCAATCCAATGTGGGACGCAAATTATGCTGTGCAACCGTGTGCAACATGCATTGCAAAACGACACCGTTTTACTATGATGGAGAAACGGTGCCAATAGTGGCACCGTTTAACTCCACCAATCAAATAATTTTATTTATTTATTTATTTTTACAAAAACTCCAATCGACGTGTACTTATAATTTATAAATATATAGTTTATGCAAGTCTGAATATATAGTTATAAAGTTATGGATATATAGTTTTGAAATTATGGATGTGTAGTTATGCAATTATGGATACATTTCTCTGTGAACAAGCACTTTAAGAATTCTGAATATGGACTTATGTAATTATGAATGTCTAGTTTTGAAATTATGAATATATAGATATGAAATTATGAATGTGTACTTATTATTTCTGAATATACTGTTGTCAAATTATGAATATATAGTTATGTACGTAATTCTGGATATATAGTTATGTAATTCTGGATATATTTGTTATCAAATTATGGATATATCCTACAGTTTGAATACGAAAGGAAACCGCCTAACGCCATTAACAACAGTCCGAACGAGATTTTTTTTTTTTTTAAATGAATCGGCGTCGTTTTGCAATCGTGTGCACCACGGTTGCATAGCATAACGATTGAATGTGGGATGTGTATCATAACTTTCCAATCATTATTGTGTGGACCATAGTCCACACAAATTGTATGGACGATATTTGTATACTATAAAATAATGTGCATTCAATACAAAGATAATGTACATCATATTCAGGGGATGTACATTATTCGTGTACTGAGTATACATTATATTATATAATGTATATTCAGTACAAAAATAATATACATTTAGTATATTAAAAATATACTTTTTATTATGATCCACACAACACTATGTGGACCATGGTCCACACAATAATTTGCCATAACTTTCAAGTATATATTTATACCCATTCATTACTGAAATATAGATGTAACATAGTCTGCAAGTCATACAAAAATGCCAAAAACTACTAGTAATAGTTAAAAGAGGAAGAAGGGAAACATGTATTACTACACAGATACAGATTGTCTTCATTAATCAATGGCCATGGGAGTGATACGCTTTTTTGTGACCTTGGCGGGAATTTGAGCGGGTTTGGTAGCTGTAGAAGATGGCTTCCCATCGTTTGCCTGTTCCTCCATTTTTCTAACATCTGCATCTGCAATTCTACCACAATGACTCGGACTACGACTAGGAGTAGGAGTAGATTCCACTGTTTTTTCAGTCCTTTTCTGAAACTCATCTCTGTTTTCTAGACCAACGGCATTCTTCCCTTCTGATACTGCGAAAGGAGTTCCCAGTTCTTCATTTTCAAACTCTAGGAGAGTGCAATAACCATCTTGAGAAGACAACGCTAGAAATTTCCCGTCAGGAGACCTTAACCAAAGAGTAAAAACAATAGTAATAATACTAATCATTAGATGCAAGTGAAATGAAACAAAAGAAGCATACACCAAAACTAATTTGGTTTACAGTACCATGCAATGTCAGTTACTGCTGCATAGTGAAGACCAGCTATGACTGCTATTGGTTCAACGCCCTCTGTGTCATATATGTATACGGAATTCAAAGTGGCCACAGCAAAAATAAGGCGGTATGGAAGCTTGAAGAATGTAGCTGCAGAAGTCATAGAAGACAGACACTCTGGCATTAACAAACAGAATACCAATCATATAAAAGCACAAAAAGAGACTGGGAAGTTGAATTTAACAACTACATGAGTTTGAACCCCGCAATTTGAAAGACACAGGACAGAAACGTGTTGCAACAACAGGTTTGCTGGCACCAGGAAGAATCAAAGCAGGCCTGTAAAATGAAGAGTAAGTGAACATGAAGCTAAAACGAATATGATCAAACCCATAGTATATATTTAACACACACACACACACACACACACACACACACACACACAAAGAAAGTAATCTGGCAACAAAGAAATTGTCTTGCCTTGATAGATCTTTTCTAGAAAATACAAAAGCAGTATTTGTTGGTGCAGAAGTAGGGGAATATTTGTAAGAACCTGTAAAGGGAAAAGTACTTTTCATTCTTCCCAAATTAAAATTATATTTTCATGATTAGGGAAATTTTAAAAATATACCTGCAGGTACAAGTAGAAATGATCCATCCGGTGACCATGCTAATCTTCGGAAGAAAGATGGCAGTGTCTCATCAAGAAAAAGATGGCTTTTCGCAGACTGCTCTCCATGCCATACAAAAGCTCATTACTTATAGAGCATCTATTTATAGCACAGATCCCAAAGATGGAACAAATTGAAACCTTACCTTAGACTCATCTGCTGTTTGTGATTCTATTTTGGCAATAACATGCTGACAAACAAAATTCATCTTCTCAATTCCTTTCATTTTGGATGGTTTGTTTACGTAAATACGGCATGATCTATCTGAGCTGAGTGATGCAGCATACTTAGACAATGGATCCCATGTAACACCTTGGACATAGTGGAAATGGCCATCCAAAATCTGATGAACAGAACCTGGAAAAGACATACTGAACATCAGGTTAAAACTCAACATTCTTTTCAGAACCCCATTGAACAAAGTAAGAGTCATGTTGCTAACTCACCTTTGTTCGCATCCCATATGATACATGAATTATCAACAGATCCAGAAATTAGATATGCACCATCATTAGACCACTCCAAGTCTAATATATCCTTGCGGTGAAACCTATAAGTTAGCAAATTCACAAGAATCAGATAATAAGAAAACCATAGGTGTAGTTATTAAAGCGAGAGCTTTTGACATCTATATTTAATGGATTCCATTCCGCGATGAAATCAAAATTTCATGTGTTATACTATGGTCTCTGCAACACCAAACACTTGAAGAAAAAATCAACCGGCAATTGATGAACACTCTCAAAGTGAGAGCAATACAGCATATGAGCATTTAAGCTTCATGTGTTCAGTAGTCATGGAAAAAATGTCTGATCCCGATTTAGAGATCCTTGATCAGACAAATTTAAAATTAGAAGCAAGTGCTGCTATTGAATTTTTAAGTCCCTGGTCTTGAGATTAAATCATTTTCAGTTTCATCCAAATAGGTGCGTAGTCAAATTAACCTTGATCATCACACTGAGCCCATTAACTTTGTAAAATTGGCGGCATAAACTAAAACAATCACTAATTTTACTTGAGTCTTGATGGAAAAGGAGGTCACTCTAAATGCAAGTCTTACGATAATGTCTTCAGGACTTTCCATACTTCACCGCCATCTGTTGAATGTAACTTCCATAATATCAGCTCACCCCCTATATAAGGAGCAATTCAATTTGAGAATACAATGTCAAATAATTTTTTTTTTAAAAAAAAAACAAAACAAAACAAAAACAAAAACAAAAAACAAAACAAAAGGTTTTTATTTTTGAAAATAAAACAAAAGGTATTTAGGATAAATGAAATGTCAATTCTCTTCTTCAACAAAATTGGTGATTAAGTTTATCTAATTCATACCATCTGCACCAGAAGCCAAATGTTCACCTGCACATTTTGGAGGAAAATGTATATATTAAACAAAAAATGGCAAAAATTAACATAGGCGGCGCCATATTCTAATCTAACTGTGTTAGATTTCTGAATGAAGCACAATATATAATATATCTTACCTGAAGGAGAGAAGCGGAGCACATTTACTGCTGAGCTGTGGTAAGAAAGACTAGTCTTATAAGTAACTTCCGGAGCTTTTTTTTTATCTTCAGTCGGATTGATCACCCATAGCTGAAATGTTCAGTTCATTTCCTAAAATATGAATACTCACCAAAATTCTTCTTTTAAAAACACATTTTTCATCTACAATCACCACTAGCATCTAAACTACTAATACTAGGAACGTTATTTATCAACTTAAGCGGATGTAAAACTAATTTAAAGAAAAATCAAGTACATGTGCTAATTTACTGCAAATTTTAGTTTGAGCATAATAAGTTAAAATAAGTATTAATACGCAAAAAATTAAGTGTAACCGACGAAATTGAGAGAAGGAGATGGAACCTTGATGTCGAAATCGGCACCGCCGGTGGCTAGGGTTCCGGTGAGATGGTGGAAATCGAGCGTCAAAACAGGCTTAGTATCGTGCCAATTAATCTGAAGTGTACCGCCTTTCATTTTTTAGCAAAGAAATTCCCTTTCCCTTGTCGAATTCAATTCTGCTACAAGTTTTAGGTGACTAGGACGGACGAGATCACAGTGATAGTAAGGTTTTAGGGCTCTCTTTATGAGCACAGCGAGAAATGCGAGGGAAAATGGGAAAGGTAGGGGGAATTCTGGCGGGAAATACTCAAATACTCTCTCCCGACTCCCGTGAGCCCAGAGATTAAAGTCACAATTACATGAAAAGAGGCCCAATAAACCACACTCATTTAAATACAAGAAAAAAAAAAAAAAAAAAAAAAACAACAACAAAATTACATAAAACCATATATGATTTCTATTTACATTTCCTCCCCACATCTTTTTTAACATTTCTCCACTCCACATATTCAAACATCGACAGCAGCAGTGTGAGAATTATGTTCTACCGGCATTTGACTCTAATTAGGGCATTTGACTCTGTTTACTGAGTCACCGTGATTTACATCCTCCCAAATGCTCTGTCAGAATAAGGGATGGGGTCTTCCGGGTTGGGGATTCAACATTTTAGGAGAAGCTAAAAAGAGACAAAACTCCATTCTGGACAATTCACTCTGCATATTAATAGCCAAAAGAGAGACACAATCCCATTTTGAGAGACAGTCCCAACTTGCGTGTTTATTTGCTTTATTGTAAATGTGTTTAATGAAAAAAAAAAAAAAAAAAAAAAAAAAAAAAACTCAATGCATGAGCTCCTCTTGTGGCTTCACAAGGCAGATTTAAGATTTTTACCAATTCATTATTTTTTTTAACCATTGGCCCTTATATTTAGTCCCTCAATAGGTCACAATGCAAAAGAGAATTTCCATTATATTTCATGTATCACTTTTATTCATTTCTTTCCAAACTAATTCATTCTACCGTGTACAGAAGACAATCAAGCTTTTACACATTGTGGGAATTGAAAGTAAACTAGGAAAAAAGAGGAATAGAAAGATGAGAGTCGAACAAGAATACACACGGTCTATGCCTGCAAAATATATGGGAGCTGAGAATCCAACCTACGCTGCATCTCCTTGATCTTTGTTGAGAGCTCGACCTTTTGCTCCTTGCAGCTCTGGAGAAGGTACTCTTTCCCTTCAATTATTTCCTTCAGTTCATCCACTTCGCGCTTCAGAACTTCTATCCTTTCCCAATTGCCTCTCCCCTTTTCTGAAGATACCGGATGACTCTCAACTTCAAAATGGACATTTCCATAGCCTGCCCAAGAAGGTGCTGTTGGGGCATTTTCACAAGAATCCAGTTGTCCAATACAGCAATCTGTAATTACTTTTCTCAGCTGCTGTATTTCTCTCTCTGAATCCAAAAGATCCCTGTTTGCAGCATCTACCAAAGACTGTAGATGAGTGGAATGTGAGAGCTGAAAATTCAAAGAACTTTTCATTTCTACAATCTGTTCGTGCATCTCAAGTATCGTGTCATCCCTTCTCTTTAGCTGTTGTCTCAGTTTCTGTATCACTTCCCGCTTGCTGAAAATGTCAGAACTGGAATCTGAGACACGTGGTGACTCAGAGCTGTTTGAGTAATGGAATGGCTTCTGTAGTGGTTCAAGATGATAGTGAGAACAGGACCCATTCTCTTTACTGAATTCAAGAGCAGGAACTGATATCCGAGGAAGTCTCATTTCAGGTTCTGTCAACACTTGACCATTGCCTTGCTGTTTTCTTTCCACCACACCTCCAGTTCCTGTTTCATTAAAGGTTAAAAGAATAGAAATGAATGTTCACAAGACTGCAACATACAAGAGAAACAAAACCTTCTCCATTCAATTGTCAAAATGCACTCAAGGAGGAGAATGATAGAGTAAACTCTCCCCTTGTAGACAGGAAGGGGAAGCAGAAGAAACACACCTCCCCTTCTCTCTAGTTTCCCGACATGATAAACACCTAACATTTTATGCTTTAGGGCCTAAAGCATGCACCTCCGGGAAGGTGCTGTTTTGCTTCATTCCAGTAAGCATTTGGCAGGAGTGGATTTGTGCCACATTTTTATCTGTGTGATAACTATGTTATATATTTTCCTTCCATTTGAAAGAGGGGATGTAGATTAAATCATGCTTTACAGTTTACAATCTAGCAGAAAGCAGCTTCCAAAGTAATGAATAAGCAATCTGGCCAGCACTTTGTCCCTTAATTGGGCCAGCCCGGTGCGAACAGGGATTAGTCTGAGTATGGTACAGGCTTAAAGGTGCCTAGTTAGGGCCTGCTTAGGACACCTCGTGGTCTGACCAAAAAAAGTAATGAATAAGCAAGCAGGGAAAAATAAATAAAAACTAACAATCTATGCAACCAACTGAAGGTTCAATTAGATGACTAAGCATTTCTTGACCTGAAGGGAAGGTGTAACAGTTTTCATCATCTTTGGCAAAGGAATACGAGCTCGACTGCATATCTAAATTCCTAGACTTCTTCCCCTCTTCGCGGCTTTCATTTCCTGCACTAAAGTGCAATACAAATTAAGACTGCGACTTAATTTTTTAGGGCAGCACCTAATCCATGAAGTACAAAAGACCTTTAAAAGCATTGTCACGAGTATTCTGTTGTTTTGCATTGAGCACCTGCTTGAGCTTGTAGCCCAAGAACACTGAAAATGTACTTAGTAAAGTGCCCCCTGCAATTAGGATCCAATTTGACCCCTCGCCATGATTTACTTTCGACCTCTGGGCTCTAGATATCCCATTGGTCCTCGGTTTCATTTTGCGCACTGCCAAACTAATGGATGAAAAGGTTGCATCTCACCAACACAAACCTACATGAAAAAAACAGCATTCTAAGTCAAACTGTTCCATGACTCTAAACCTACTGAAAATCAGGGACCTTTTGCAAAATTGAGATTCCAGAATATGGTGAATGAAACATTCAATTCACTGGATAGAGACCACTGCAGCTCTGCTACTCAAATTTCATTCCAACTATGTACACGAAACAGCATGAAATTAATGAAAAGCCAGTCGCCGAACAGACATTTATAGCGCAGAAATAGATAGCAGATACAAGGAAATACAGAAACGGCGGCAGATAATGAAATTCTCCGATGAGTCAACTTCAATAATTAATGTCTCCGAGAGGACAATAAATTAAGAATAGCGGACATTCATCCACATGACGCACACAGTACACCGTGTAATGCACACATTCATAGCATCAAATCACTAAACAAGTAATGGTATTTCGAGAAGAACAAAAAGAGTACCTCGTCGTTATGGATCAGATGAGAGCGGAAAATCTGGTAATCCCGGTTGGTTTTAGCTTCTACTGAGGAGGATCAGGGTTTTACAGATTGACGAAAATAGAAACAAAACGGAGAAAACAGCACTTAACCCCCTCAACTTATTTTTCTTTCATTTAACTACCCCCAACTTGTTTTTCTTTCATTTAACCACCTCAACTTACTTTTCTTTTGCTCAACCCCCTTACTTCTCCCTATCTCCGTGGAGTTCCCAAATTGCCCTCAGTTTCTTCTCCTCCCATCTTCTCCCCAAAATGAGAGGGTGAGTGGATGCATGATAACTCTCGGGAAAAACATTCAAATTGATCATCGAATTAAATACAAAAATGTAATTAAGTCATTAGACTTATAAAATATGTAATTAAATCGCTCAATCAAATAACTAAATTTGTTCATTTATACCAAATAGCAGTTTAATCTCTTCCTCTCACTATGTTACCATGTCATGTGGTGTCTTAGTGTCTATGTAGATATTAAATTAAACATATTTTTAATTATATTTTAAAATTAAACATTATTACTTTTATTATTAGTCTCTCCAAATTCCGGATTAAAACATGCTTCCCCCTAAATTTTCAATCTCCGAAATCCCGTAGTCGCTTATCGGGTGACGTAGAGATTCAAACCCATGATCTTTGGTCGAGCTCTGATACCAAATTGAAGCATGTGTTTCATCTCAACTAAAAAGCTAAGCTGATAGTTACATGCTCAACAGCAAGTTTGTTGCCTAATATCAATTATACAAATTAAAGTCAAACAACACTAGCAAGATGCATCAGCAATAACAACTTGGTAAGATGAATTAGCTCTATATATCAAGTTAAAAAAAAATAAAAAATTATGTGTACTATTATCATTTTTTACTCTCAAATTTTACTCAATTATACTTTCAAATTCTTAATGTAATCATTTTTTGAGGACTCAAGTGCTCAAAATAGTATATTATTGTTTTTCACATCAGATAATAAAAATGATGGCATATAATATGGGGATAATATACATAGTAAAAGAGTGTAAAATTCTGCCCAAAATGAAGTAATTAAGCCCCATCATTCAAGTCAAATTTTTTCTTTAATTCCTACAAAAGACAGGAGACTAGTCATTCAAAGAGAAATCGATAGTCATTTTCATTACCATCAAAACTAATCAATGAATATCTTACGAGATTGATATAAGTGTTTGTCAATTGAGTCATGATATGATTGTTATTCAATTTTGATAAGAGACATATGATAATTCATGCAAAGAGTGGTTAATCGTCATTTTCAATACCACAAAAACTGATCAATGAAAGTCATATATATACACATGCAAGAAATAATGGGAGTGGCTATCAAACACTTTGGTCAGTAATCACATCCCTATCAATCTTCCTCTAATATATATAAATAACCTTAACCATTTACAATCAAAACACATCCTTCTCCAAAATATTAAATGTTACTCCCTCAGTCAAATTTTACCTGTCTTATTTTCCTTTTTAATTTGTCACAAAATATTATCATCTTTTCAAAATTGAATATAACTATCACTCTACATTTCCCAATTTATCATTTTGACTTTTCAAATTTCTAGAGGTAAATAAAATTGTACTTTATACAAATAACACATACTTTTGAGGGGCAAAATTGAAAAGTTAGTAACATTTATTATGTTATATTAAAAATCGTGCAAAAAGCAAATGAGACAATCAATTAGAGACGGAGGGAGTATCATTTATACTATACTACTTGCATGTTTCTCCCAAAAGGTTGAATCATCAACCTCAATGACCCTCCACACCCCGCCCAACGGATTCAATGGCTCAGCAGACAGAACCGCGCACACAAGGATCTGCCCACTTTAAGCATAATCATCACACTGTTACTGTCAATGTTCGAACATTGGTCTCTTCTCCCAAGTACTACTTGCATGCATGCTATGTAGTTAGGGTGGTTAGCAAATTAAAGTAGGACGAAAATATGTTTGATGATGTTACATTATATTGAAATTTCAATACTACTCAAAACAAAATATTGAAATTTCAAAATCTCAGCAGTACAATATCACGTTACATGCATTGAGGGATGTCAACAAAAACTATGTAAGGAAGTAAAAAAAGAAAAAAAAAAAAAAAAACCAATAATTGAGAGGGGGAAATAAAGAAATGTAAATGCACTTGGAAGTTGGAAGATATGAAAAGAAACCGTGGCATGTAGTCTGAAAACCAATATTCTATGCGACATGATGGACCGACAAATATATGGATAGATGGAGCATGGTGGCTAGCTAAGGTTCCATTGAAATGATACACTATAGCAGTAGTGAACCCCCGTGACTTCATTTTGGCACCTGCCCAAACTCCAAAAAGTTCCCAATAAATGATACTGTTCCTTCCAAACAGGTCCTAACAAATAACACTATACTAGCTACCAATATTGACATATTGTATTACTAATAACCCAAATAACAGTTAAAAAAAAAAAAAAAAAAAAAAAAAAAAAAAAAAAAAAAAAACCCAAATAAGAGTGTATTGAGTTCACTCTCTTAGGTGACAAAGTTCTTGATTTCCTCCGTATAACATGGTGGATTCGAGAACTTCAATTAATTTGTACATGTTTGTGTAAGAGTGAAGCTATCTCTCCTTCTTTCAAATATTTGGAGCTATTCTTGTGGTAGAAAAATGGAGCCCCCTTGCGTGAAGATGAACAAGATGGATCCCACCTCCTCAACGTGACCCCCTCTTTTTATAGTCCAAGATAGAGCTATGTTTAATGGGAAATAATGTCCTCTCTCCTGGAGGTTATGGAATTTAGAAATAACTAGGGTGATTAATGGGCAGTTTAATAGGCAATTACTTAGGATTTAATGGGTGTTTAGTGGGTTATAAAAGATGAGTGGTAATGGGAAAATAATGGCCGGTTAGTGGGTAATTTAAGAGAATTTGAGTAATTTAATAGGGTATTTATTTTGGGGTTATAGAGGGGTTTAGATGGTCCGACCGGGTTTAGGTGGCAAATTATACTGTGAGCACGTGCTCACATTCCATATCCATAATTTCTATACTGTAGATTCATAAAATTTATACTTTAGATTTCAATTGTTAAACTCTGTTTTCACAAATCAGAGAATTATATGTTCATAATTTGATAACTATACGGTTTAGAAATTATGAATTTACAGTACAGAAATTATGAATTTACTGTACAGATATTATGAATCTGTAGTATAGAAATTATGAATCTACTATATAGAAATTATGAATCTACTGTATTTTTTAAATTATGAATCTATGATTTAAAAATTATTAATAAAGTATAAATTTTATAAATCTACGGTATAGAAATTATGAATATGAAACCGTGCCCACCTTGCGAGGTAAGCACGTGCTTACAGCATAACGTTTCGGTTTAGGTGGTCATGAATGAACCATATTTAATTTTTTTTATATATAATATAATATGTTGGCAGCTGTAAGAAAACACATTTCCATGATCAATCTGTGGACTATTATTTTGTGTCTCGGTCCCATTCCCATAGCAATAAAGCTAATTTGCACATCTCTATAAATTCCATCATCACCTTGCTTTTCTTTACCCAGTTTGCTAGCTTTGCTTCAGATCGAGTTCACATCAATCCTTCCCCAAAAACTCTCTTTTTCCTCCTCCCAAAGTATTCAATTCCCATGGGATCTGATTATTATCACCATTATTGCCGCTGTTTCTTGGCGATTATTATTGTTGTTGTGTTGTTGTTGAATCCAGTGCATGGAGATTCCTCGGACGATCTGATACAAAAGACTTGCAAGAACACAAAGTACTATGATCTGTGTGTTTCCTCTCTCAAATCCGACTCCACCAGCTCAAAGGCATCGGACACCAAAGACTTGGCCCAAATCATGGTTAGGGTTGGAGTAGCCAACGCCACCGCCACCAAATCTTACCTCTCGTCCCTCATCGGCGGCGGCGGCGGCGGCGGTGGCTCCTCCGCGAACGACACCAGTGCTACGATGAAGAAGCTGCTGAGGGATTGTGCAGACAAGTATTCGTACGCCGGCGACGCTCTCCTGGCGTCGATTCAGGACTTGGACGCTGAGATGTATGACTACGCGTACATGCACGTCATGGCCGCCGCGGATTATCCCAACGTTTGTCACAATGGGTTTAGGAGATATCCGGGATTGGCTTATCCGCGTCAGCTGGCGATTAGAGAGCAGGGTTTTAAGCGTATTTGTGATGTGGTTATGGAGATGCTTGATTCTCTTGCTGCTTTGTCTTAAATCTTCATCTTAACTTCAATTATCATCATATCCTCTTATACATTATAATATGAGTTGTACGAATCTCAAAATTCTATTCCCTCATTTATATTCTCTGAGGTGACATAATTGGTTATTTTTATCATAGGTCCATAAAAAAATGTCTACATTAAAAACATGTGAAAGAAAGTATAAATTGACAGTTTAAAATGAAAGTACACCCAAGTACTTTCCTTGTAATATTATATTATTATGCAACTTTCATTTCATTTCTCTCTCGTTTACACTTTCACTGCTAGCTAGCTGGTTTCATTTTAACACTGTTGTAACCTACGCAGTTCAACTAAATTCTTATGGGCCTCAGTGGTAAATAAAGCCCAATACTTCAGCTGGCATGTAGGAGTGCAATAGTTATGATGTGCAACCCTATGGTGCACACGGTAACAAAATGACGTCATTTTGACTAAAAATGCATATCTCATTTAAAAATATTCAGTTTCGATTCCCGTCAATAACATTATTGTGGATATATAGTTATGAATTTGTGGATATATAGTTATGAATTTATAAATATTTAGTTCATTCATTGTGGATATTTAGTTCATTCATTGTAGATATTTAATTCATTAATTTTGGATTTTGTATTATTCATATAGTTATGAATTTGTGGATATATAGTTATGAATTTGTGGATATATAATTCAAATTATGCACACACAAAAATGCTATTACCGGAAATTAAACCTATTTTTTTTAAAGTAAGACGCACGTTTTTAATCAAAATGACGTCGTTTTTGCAACCGTATACACCATGTAGACAGCATAATTTGCGGTAGGAGTGTCAACGACTCAACGTGAGCCGAAATCCACGGGCCAATCTCATCGCAAATTATGCTGTGCAACCGAATGCACCTTGCAAGGTGCATACGGTTGCAAAACGGCGCCGTTTTGGTTAAAAAAACGCGCGTCCCACTTAAAGAAGAAATCAGGTTCGATTCCCGACAATAGCATTTTTATATATCCACAATTTCATAACTATATATCCATAATTTCATAACTATATATCCACAGTGAATGAATGAAGTAAAAATCCACAATGAATGAATGAATGAAGTAAAAATCCACAATGAATGAATGAATGAAGTAAAAATCCACAATGAATGAATGAATGAAGTAAAAATCCACAATGAATGAATGAATGAAGTAAAAATCCACAATATATGATTGAACTAAATATCCACAATGAATGAACTAAATATCCACAATTTCATAACTATATATCCATAATTTCATAACTATATATCCACAGTGAATGAATGAAGTAAAAATCCACAATGAATGAATGAATGAAGTAAAAATCCACAATGAATGAATGAATGAAGTAAAAATCCACAATGAATGAACTAAATATCCACAATATATGATTGAACTAAATATCCACAATGAATGAACTAAATATCCATAAATTCATAACTATATAACCACAATTTCATAACTATATATCCAGAATTTCATAACTATATATCCACAATAATGCTATTGCTGAGAGTCGAACCTGATTTTTTTTTTTTAAGTGGGACACGCGTTTTTAATCAAAACGACGTCGTTTTGAACTGTATGCACCATGCGCATGGTACATTCGGTTGCACAGCATAACTATTGCCAATCTCATGGATCATATCACCTATAGTGAGGTGGGTTATGGCCACAAAAAGTATGAACCATACAAAAATGTGGCCTAATGGGCTTGACCCGTGTATGTCGCGTGGCTAAGCCCTTTATAGTAACCAAAATTATACTCGGTATGTTATTAATTTACAATCTTGCGATGTATTTATTGTTATTTTTTTTTTAGAAAAAGAGTCAAATAGGCTCTCGAACTTTAGCTTAAAAGTCAATTAGGTCTTTAAATTTTTTAAATATGTAATTACATCCATCAATAATTCATTTAAGTGCAATGAAGCCCAAAAACAAATTAATGACCTGCTATCACAGGTCATTAGGGTTCAGGCTACCTTCCGGTGAATTTTCTAGCAAAAAAGTGACCAGCAACCGACCAGATAAAAAAAAAAAAAAAAAGTGACCGGCGAAATTTTCGATAAAAAAGTGACCGACGAAATTTTCGATAAAAAAGTGACCGACGAAATTTTCGGCAAATCTGGGTCGGTTGCTGGTCACTTTTTTGCTAGAAAATTCGCCGGAAGGTAGCTTGAACCCTAATGACCTGTGATAGCAGGTCATTAACTTGTTTTTGGCCTTCATTGCACCTAAATGAATTGTTGATAAGTGTAATTACACATTTAAAAAGTTTAGGGGCCTAATTGACTTTTAAGCTAAAGTTCGAGGGCCTATTTGACATTTTTCCTTTTTATTTTTTTTTTTTATCCTTCTTGTTATTTTTAAGGGAAAATGATATTTTTCCCTTGAATTATATGTTTATAACACATTTTCTCCATCAATTATTTATATAAGCATATTAGTTTCTTTAATTATTTTAAAAGTGACGATTTTTTTCCTGATATATTAAATTGACATCTCTATCCATTAAAGTAAACATTTTATATAATTTTTTTTCTCCAATAAATTATTGCTTATATGTAGGAATGACGGTTCGGTTCGAACTGAATCGGACACTATAGCAATCGAATTAAAAGTTTTCGGTTATGATTCATATCCAGAACCCAATATTTGGATTTCAGTTTATTAAAATCATGGATCGAACAAATTGGATCATAAACCGTGAACCGGCGGTTCAAATTAGAACAACTACTAGCATTATTTTAAAATTAAAATTATAATATTTACAAATAGTGTATGTTCTTTTTTACATTTATTATGATTCTCACATATAAGTATATATGACCTCGATTTGGTTTTGATTTTGAACCGCCAGTTAACGGTTTCAGATCCAGTTTGAACTGCTAGTTCAAACTTTATTTTAAAATTTTATTTTTTATTTTAAAAATAATCTAAATTCAACAATAAATGTATTTTTTTTTTTTTAGTTCGGAACATGAACCGGCCGTTCTGGTTCGCGATTTTAATAAACTCTAACTATCGAGTTTCGATTCTAAATTGTAATCAGAATGTTTCAGTTTGGTTGCTATAATGTTTGTTCTGTTTGAACCAAATCGTGGTCATTATTTGTTGGATAAGAAAAATAAATGAAATATTTATTTTAATGGTAAATATGTCCATTTAACATTTTAGGGAAAAAAGTGCCACTTAAATAATTTGAAGGGTAAAGTGTTATAAGTATATAATTCAGGAGAAAATTTGCTATTTTCCTTATTTTTAATATTTATTTATTAATCATGATTTTAATTGGTAATTATACCTTTTTATTTATTTATTTATTTATTATGTTAACCACATTTTCCCACGCAAATTATGCCATGGAATCGTGTTCACCGAGAATGGTGAACACAAGGCAAAACGACGTCGTTTTTAGGCAAAAAAAAAAAAATTTCGCGGATGTGGAGTTAACGGCGCGCGTTTGATCAAATTATGAATTTTCTGTTATGAGATTATGAATTTTATGAAAATTCATAATCTCATAACAGAAAATTCATAATCGCATAACAGAAAATTCATAATCTCACAACTGAAAATTCATAATCTCATAACAGAAAATTCATAATCTTATAACAAAAAATTCATAATCTCATGGTTCCAAAGTGAATGTGTAGGCATGGTTCCAAAGTGAATGTGCAGGCATGGATTCATAATTTATGAATGTCCGTGATTTCGGACGGGAATATGTAGGCATGGTTCCAAAGTGAATGTGCAGGCATGAATTCATAATTTATGAATGTCCGAAATTATGAATGTAATGAAAATTCATAATCTCATAACAGAAAATTCATAATCGCATAACAAAAAATTCATAATCTCATAACTGAAAATTCATAATCTCATAACAGAAAATTCATAATCTCATGGTTCCAAAGTGAATGTGTAGGCATGGTTTCAAAGTGAATGTGCAGGCATGGATTCATAATTTATGAATGTCCGTGATTTCGGACGGGAATGTGTAGGCATGGTTCCAAAGTGAATGTGCTGACATGAATTCATAATTTATGAATGTCCAAAATCTTTTATTCACCTCAAATTAAAGTGAAATCGCAAAATGTGAAAATAAAGAAGAAAAGTCACACAATAAATTAAGAAAAAAAAAAAAAATAACGATGTACTAACACCGTTGGAACCGTGTTCACCATGAATAATGAACACGATTCCATGGCATAACGTCCCATTTTCCCAACCCACGGCCGGCCCTCCAACTTAATTATATGGGGCATGTTAGGGTTATTTGAATCCTATTATGCTACCAAGCCCACAAAAGCCCACCATGTATGGTGCACACTATTGCAAAACGATATCATTTTGATTAAAAAATGCGCGTCTCATTTAAAAAAAAAGTTTCAGTTTCGATTTCCCTCAACAGTATTATTGCGGATATATAGTTATAAATTATTGTGGATATATACTTATGAATTTGTGGATATATAGTTATGAATTTATGGATATTTAGTTCATTCATTGTGGATATTTAGTTAATTCATTGTGGATATTTAGTTCATTCATTCTGGATTTTGTGTTATTCATTCACTGTGGATATATAGTTATAAATTTGTGAATATATAGTTATGAATTTGTGGATATATAATTCAAATTATGCCCAAAAAAAAAAATGCTATTACTGAGAATTGAACCTGATTTTTTTTTTTTAAGTGGGACGCACGTTTTTAGTCAAAACGACATCGTTTGTGCACCATACATGGTGCACACGGTTGCACGGCATAATTTGCGAAAAAGTATACACGGGATGGGACCGACTCAACCCATTTTGACAATGCTCCTACCACTGTTGCAAAAATCGTGCCTAGGCGCCCTAGGCGATCCCCAGGCGCCTAGCGATTTTTTCAATATTGATTCTTACCATGGATGGGTTTTAATTTTTACGGGGCGTTTGGTTGGAAGGAAGTAATTAGGTGAGAAAGGAATTGTAATTCGGTGAAAAAGAATAAGGTGGAAACAAAATAGGAATTCAAATTACGTTGTTTGGTATGGAGAAATATAATTATTGAAATTGAGAAGGAAATAAGTGGTATAAAGACTAAAATATCCTTGTGTAATAATAATAGTAATAACATCCAAGGGTAGTAATGTCATTTCATATGTTTTTCCTTTCTCAAATTCATGGGGATACCCCGTGAATTGCAATTCAACAAAAGGAGGGAATTGCAATTCCCTCAAACCAAACAATGTAATTGAGACATACACTGAATTGCAAATTAACTACAGCTAAATTACAGTGAACCAAACGCCCTGTTAAGGGTGAATAATTCTCAAACTTAATAATGATTTATGTAGCTTTGAAATGGGTTGTCGAGTGAATGGAACATTATTTTTATTGCACATGTTTTCCGTTAAACTCATCGCAGCAAGATATTTTTAGTATGCTTCATAACACAAGAGCAAGTGTTTGTCCAATGCATACTTTTAGGTAATGGTTGTGAAAGAAGTTATACAACAAGACTATAAGGTTAACATTATCCCTACAAATCTCTCCCACTCTAAAAAATGAGTCTCACTTCCACATCATCTCATTTACAAATCATCTACTGTTCACACTACATCCCTAAAATTCATCACACTCTAAAAAATGAGTCCCACATTCATATTATATTATAAATATAATAATATTAAAAATAATAATAATAAAAAATCAAAAGATGCGTGCTTGGCAACCCTTTTCCGCAACTTTTCAACTTTATCCTCTCATTTACAAATTCTCTCTCTTACAAATTTTGTAAATTTTCTCCCCTCTTACATTACACTTGACATTAAATAATAATTTAAACAAATTATCTCTCTTGCCAAGTAAGCTTGCCAACCCCCAATTTGCAGGGATGTGGTTAGCCTAAGCTATAGGCCAGGTGGTTCATCGTGCTTTAGCGTAAAAAGGTTAGTCAATAAGTGTGTTTGTAAAATAGTTAGTCATTTTTTTATGGGTATTATATTCAGCTGCATTTATTATTGTATTATTAAACTTTACGGAGTATTTATTTATTACCTATTAAAGCAAATTGAAATATAAATAGTTAAACCAATATTATAATTACTAATTAGCAGTTGACTCCAGTATAGAGGGAGTAACATTTGATGGAGTAGACAAAAATAGAAAGGAAATAAAACAAGATCCATCATAATTTCATAAATACTTTAAGGTAAAATCCAACCAATGAGAAGCTTTAGATTGCGGAATAAGCGTCTTGGTTTCCCGCGGTACAGTGTACATTCCACGGAACCACACACGCGCTCGCTCTTCGCTCTGCTACTAGAACTCTCTAAATTCTCTATATAAACCCCGATTTCTCTATATTTTCGTTTTTTCTCTTTACGTATAGCACTTGAGTTCCTCGATTCCTATTAGCCCTCCTCCGCCTTTCGCCGTCTTCTTCCGCGTCACCCTCCTCCCTCCATTTCCCTCTATCGGGTAAGCTGCTTATGATCGCTTATGATTTGGTATGGGTTGATTTCTTCGATTAATCGATTAATCGTTTCATATTTATAGCCGATCGAATCGGGTTATAGGGTTTTTCAGTATGAAGTATGAACAATTGATAATTGACATCAGTTTAGGTCCTTTGATCCTGTTGTGTTTATGCTTTACAATCCATTTTCTGATGTTTCTGGAAGCTTCCTTGTGCCAATTTTCAGTTTGTGTTTAGTTATTATAAAAATCTTTCATTCTTAAGACATCGGTATGACAGAGGATACATACACATGTTTTTTTTTTTTTTTTTTTTTTTGTTTTCATTTAAAAGTGGGCATACTTGGACTGACTTTATGAAGCTAGTTGAGCTCTATAAAAGTGTCAATCTGGGATTTTGTTAGTTTTATTTTGATGCTTGCTGTATCTGGGCTTGAAGTGTTTGAATGTGATAGGGAATGCTTTTTGATTTCTGATCTCTGGGTTCTTTTTTTACGGAGTTGTTACTGGAGGCTGATGATGTTGTGGTGAAACAATAGGTCTGTGTTGTGCTCCAAATGTCTATTGATTCTTGTGAGAAGCATCGATTCTTTGTTCGGGGTTCTTTCTTTTTCATGAATCAGGGAAGGTTGTGGTGTGCACTGAAGATCTTATTTCGGCATTGGACTTGACAATTAGTTGACTGCAGTGTGCAAGGGAGGTGAGGGACTTTGGGACTGGTGCTTATACTAGTTTTCTGTTTCCTAAGGAGTAGTTAACAAACTTAGCTCTTTCATTTTCTTTTGCTTATTTTTTTGGATCACAGACAATACTGTTGTCAGTTGGTATTTCCCTTCTCAACGAACTTTAGATTCTTTTTCTTTTTCTTTTTTTGGGGGGAGGGAGGGTCATTTACTTCACTCAGCTGCGTGGTGTTCTTTCGCCATTACTGTATGGCAAATACAACCCTTCCTCCAGGATTTCGCTTTCATCCAACTGATGAAGAGCTGATCATGTACTACCTAAAGCGCAAGGTCACAGGAAGAAAACTTCATTCTGAAGCTAAGCGTGCTATACCAGAGCTCAATATTCGTCTTTATGCCCCATGGGAGCTTCCTGGTAATTTTTATATCCTGATTACGTTTTTCTCTTGTTTGCTTTGACCATTATGAGGTGAAGGGCAACACTCTACAGGTGCTATTTGCTTGTGAATTACTGCTGCATTCTATGCATTTTAATATTGCTTTTCTGTCTTTCTGCTGCAGGAAAATCTAGAAGTAAAGATCTTGAGTGGTATTTCTTTTGTCCAATAGAAAAGAAGTATGCAAGTGGGTCTAGAATGAAGCGGGCAAATGAGACTGGTTTCTGGAAAGCCACAGGGAATGATAGAACTGTTACTTATAAAGGACGAACTGTTGGAAAGATTAAAACTTTAATTTTCCACCAAGGTCATGCGGGCAAAGGGATAAGAACAGATTGGGTTATACATGAGTACCGGATGGAGGACAAGCATTTGGCAGATGCAAGAATTGTTCAGGTAGTTTTATTCTTTCTCTGGTCAATGGAGTGGCCTATTCAGGAATTCTTTCTTCTTGTTTGTGACTTTCTGTTTGTACTACCATCATCTGGTGGGGCTGCATATTTTTGTGAAATAGATCTTAACAAAGTCCACTATCTTCTGTGAGGTTCCATCATCTTAGACACTTAATTGAGAAGCATAGTATTCATTACCCCTTTTCTGCCTGCATTATTAGGTTACAGGGTGCATTTTTCTTATTCCACTATCAGCTATTAGTGGCAATTTATTTTTCTCCTAGTTAATTTTGTGGTGATAATATTTTGGCTCTACAGGATTCATATGTGATCTGTAAAGTATTTGAGAAGACTGGATCTGGCCCCAAAAATGGCTCACAGTATGGAAGGCCATTTATTGAGGAAGATTGGGATAATGATGATGTATGTGCTGAACCAGATCTTTCTGGTGTATCTCCTGCTATGCCTGCACCTACTGATTGCCAAAGCTGCCCGGTCGGCATAGAGAGCACTTCTAATTTTACTTTGGTTGAACCAGGTCCATCCTCTGCTGAACCTGGTTCATCTTTGGCTGAACCTCATATTAATGAGCTTCCGGAAGATGCTGATATGATTGAGTTGTTGTGCCCATTTTTTATGGAAGAGAATGGCTTGCTACCAATTGAGAGTAACAATAATAAGGTTTGTCCTCTAGTACTTTATCAGCATTGTTGAGTGTCAAATGTGATAATAATTTGGTTCTTCTATTCCTTGTTATTTTGGATAGTGATCTACATGGAACATTTGGGTTAAAATGAATTATTATGGCCTCTTGTTGGTACAAAGATGTACTATGATGCTGATGTATACACATGTTTTTTTAGGAAACAGCATAATACTTTATGGTTATACTGGTGAAATTGTATGGCCACTGATGCATCACCACCTCTTTTCTTATTCATCAACATGATCTCAGATCTGAACTTCACAATCCATTTCAGCAGCTCACTAGGCTTCAGAATGTCCATATGCCATTTTTCATTCTAGTGTTGCACTATGCTTTTACTTATTTTAGCAGAGATTGAAACAAGCCATTGTTGGGGCATATAGGTTTTCTTTTAATCCGTTTTGCTTTTAAGATAAGCTTTGAGTATTGAATTTGATGCAAGCAGCATATAGTTATACTCCTGTTGATTATATGGTTTTGCATTGTGATGCTTTATTATTCCAAATTGATTTTTTCTCATCGAACCTTTTGTTATTTATTGAATTCTTATGTGCATTCTCTGAGATCTACTACTACATTATTTTGTGACTTTAAAATGGCCAAAACTGTGTTTGAAGTATTGACCAATTGTTGAGTGTGAGATGTGATAATAATTTAGTAGTAGAAAAGAGGTGGTGTTGTAATGTTCCTGAAGAATTATTCTGTTTCTTCATAAGTGTGTCTTGAAGCATTGACCTACTGTTGTCATGTTCCTGATTTTTATTTTTATTTTTTGGTTGGAGATTATTGTATCTGTTTCTTGACAAGTGTTCCTTTCATCTTTGTATAGAATATGAGTGATCTTAACCAAGCAAGATCTGTAGAGATAGCAGCATGTAATGATGGAGATGATATCTATAATGGCCTAGGAGGTTTGGATAACTTGCCAACGCTTGATGAAGACGGATTTTGTAATACCCGAAATCCATGGGAAGAGACTACTGCATACTATGGTGACAGTGATGCATATATTAACCAAGCAAGAAGTGTAGAAGTATCAGAGTGTAATGATGGAGATGATATGTTCAACATCTTAGGATACCTGGGTAACTTGCCAACAACTGGTGAAGACGGATTTCCTAATATGACTATGGCTGCTGCTGCTGGATATGTGGAGCTTGATGATCTTTTGAAGCCATTAGATGAATCAAATTGTGGTAGTGAAACTCAGCACTTGTATCCATTTTACAATAATGTGGAACAGTCCCATATTAGAGGCAATACTACTAGTGGCAGTAATCCAGTGGCAGCCGAGGAAAACATCCATCCAAAACCAAAAGGTGAGTTAAAATTGAACTGCTAGCATGCTAAGACTTGAGACTTTATCATTGAATATATTTTATTTTAATAGATATTATATGATTGATTTGAAGTGTTGAAAGTGAAAGTAAGTAATTAAATGGTGATTTTGACACAAATACATACAGGATACAATTCATGGTGAATGCTGACAGTTGGGAGTGATGGAGCAGGCAGATTGATGGTTGATAACCAATTAAGTTACATTGATGAAGAGCAACGTTGTGATTTTTGTTTATAGATTGCTGGCTGGCTGGCTGGCTTTGTGTTTTAAGTTTGAACCATATTCCATTTTCTTTCACTTCAGACTTGAATTGGTGTATGTACATAATTTGTATCTTCTTGTCATGGATTTAAACCAAACCGAACCAGTTGATTTTATAAAACAACAAAGTTATTATTATTATTATTATTATTATTATTATAGTATTCCCCAATCCCCATGCAATGAAATGTATGTTAAGAATTAGATGTTGGGAGATTAAGATGATGGATGCATAATGCATACGTACAAGGGAGGGATGCAATGTCTCTTGCCTGTACATGTTGTACGTACGTACATCTCTTATTATTCTTTTTGTCTTCTTCTTATAGTAGAACAAGAATAGTAATAATAATAATATAATATATGAAGGAAGGAATGTTATGTATGTATATATATATATAAAAGCTAGAAAGGCGCAGATGCAATATCTCTTAGGGCAGATGGAATTCTCAACAAGTTGTATGAACCCTCCTCTTCCTCTTCATCTTCTTCATACTCCATCATCATCATCCCCTCATTATTGTCGTCGTGTACACAATTAACTACTGGCTCTAGCCCCTGCAAATTAAAACCATCATCAATAATGATACCCAGGCAGGCCAGCAAAACATGGCCGGACGGAGATCAGAACTTAACATATAATCATACCTGGGTGAAAATTCTTAGAGCTTCTTCAATACTCGTAGTGTTCAACACAGAAAGTGCAGCCTCCTTTTTATAATTCAATTCATTAAACACATCCAATTTAGATACAGATGCAGATACAAAAGCAGTTAAATTAAAATGAAGTATACACAATTAATTAAGACGACATATATACATACCCTAGCGAATTGGAGTTGATGGATATTGAGCGTCCGAGGTTCATTCTCTATTGATGATTTCCTGTCTAACGGCCGGTACACCAGCACCGATGTCGACGACGAAGACTCTCCTCCCATTCTTATAATTCTCGTTCCAATCTATCTTCCCACAACTTAAACTGCTGGCCTGCCTATATATCTATCTATCTCTCTCTCATCAAATCCGCTCCGCACGTACTTACTTGTGTTGTGTTTGTTTATCGGATGGGATCGGATCCATTTATATTATATATACCCCGGACCCAACCTTTTGGGGCTGGGAAGAGCTACTGAATCACGAAATGTCACGTGGCAGATTTTGCTTAGCTCCGGGGATGGGTACGTGGGAATTTCAGGTTAGATTCATCCAAACGTGGCAAATAACGGTTACCTACCTATGTTTTTCAGTCAAGAAACGGAGCCCAACTCCAACTTCTCAAAACATGTGGGTCGCAGCTTTGCGTCTAATAAGGCGCCCCGTCGCTGCTGGATGGGACCAATCGTACGCGCCCACGAATTGCCACCAACCCCCTCACTTTCACGGACTCGTACACGTGTATGCCTAATTTTGCTTTTCTTCATTTTTTTTTAATATTATATATATGTTGCTTATTAGAATATCATGAGGCGGTTATATATATGTATACAAGATGAAGACATGCACCACCATTATATATATCAATCATTATTGTATGGACCATGGTCCACACAAATTGTGTAGACCATATTTTGTCTATTGTAAAATAATGTACATTCAGTACAAAAATAATGTACATTCAGTAAAAAAATAATGTACATTATATTCAGGGGATGTACATTATTTTTGTTCTAAATATACATTATATTATATAATGTACATTCAGTACAAAAATAATGTACATTTAGTATATTAAAAATGTAAATTTTGTTATGGTCCATATAACATTGTGTGGACTATGGTCCACACAATAATTTGCCTATATCATGCGTGATAATTTCTTAAACCTTTATTTAATCATAATTAATTAATGCAATAAATTAGATTGAATGATTAAAAAAACAAAATAAATTAGTGAATGGCCCCGTGCCCGTCCCTTTCCGCAAATTATGCCATGGAATCGTGTTCACCGAGAATGGTGAACACAAGGCAAAACGACGTCGTTTTTAGACAAAAAAAAAAGAAAATTTTGTGGATGTGGAGTTAACGGCGTGCGTTTGATCAAATTATGAATTTTCTGTTATGAGATTATGAATTTTATGAAAATTCATAATCTCATAACAGAAAATTCATAATCGCATAAAAGAAAATTCATAATCCCACAACTGAAAATTCATAATCTCATAACAGAAAATTCATAATCTCATAACAGAAAATTCATAATCTCATGGTTCCAAAGTGAATGTGTAGGCATGGTTCCAAAGTGAATGTGCAGGCATGGATTCATAATTTATGAATGTCCGTGATTTCGGACGGGAATATGTAGGCATGGTTCCAAAGTGAATATGCAGGCATGAATTCATAATTTATGAATGTCCGAAATTATGAATGTAATGAAAATTCATAATCTCATAACAGAAAATTCATAATCGCATAACTGAAAATTCATAATCTCATGGTTCTAAAGTGAATCTGTAGGCATGGTTCCAAAGTGAATGTGCAGGCATGGATTCATAATTTATGAATGTCCGTGATTTCGGACGGGAATGTGTAGACATGGTTCCAAAGTGAATGTGCAGGCATGAATTCATAATTTATGAATGTCCGAAATCTTTGTTCACCTCAAATTAAAGTGAAACCGCAAAATGTGAAAATAAAGAAAAAAAGTCACGCAATTAATTAAGAAAAAAAAAAAAAAAAGATAACGGTGTACTAACACCGATGGAACCGTGTTCACCATAACGTCTGGTCCCTTTCTCAGTCAACATTTATTTGGTCCATTGTGGATTGATTCATTATCATCTGGGCAGGTAGGCCAGTGCCCACCATCAACCATTCAACAAAATATCTCCATCATAATTAAACTTAAAAAGGCTATTTTCATGATAATATGATTCTATGATTAGACAAGCAAGAAACCAACCACGGTCCACGGCATATCAATAATAATAATTGCTCCGTATATTATATTATTATTATACATCAATCACTAATTATAGCACTCAATAACATAATTTCATCATGCATGTGTCCAATCTTTTAACCCAATACACAACCCATACAACTTCCTTTCTAAAAGCTGGGCTTATATTTATGAGTTGATGTTTAGTGGAATGGGCAGTGAACAACTCCAGCCAGCTCAATGCACGATGCTGATGATGGACTTTAGGAATTCTCAATAAGTTTTGAAAACCAACTGCAAAGCTGTATCATTAGAATAAATAAGAGATAAATACAAGAGCGTTGACTCCTAGACAGTAATATAATTTCAGTTCCCAACTTACCGTGGCAAGAGCGTGGACAAGTTGATTTCCAATCTTAAGCCTAAAAGCTTAAAAAGAAAAACAATAACAATCAATGAGAGTGATACAGAGTCGCCTCTTGGACAAGATCAGAGTGATACAGAGTTGCCTCTTGGACAAGATCAGAACCTGACAGTCAGATTCAACCCCAGCATTTGAGAGTTCTACTACATACATGTAATGTACTCTCACTTACTCCTTCAATTTTATTCCATGATGTGACAAGACTCCAATAAGTTATTTTTTCCAGGGTTTCAATACAAATATCTACACAAAGTTTTGTGTGTGGAAGTAAAAATTGAGATTAAACCTAACATTTTCCATTTTAGACACCCTTTGCCTTCAATCAGGAATTCTCAATAATTAATTAAGTTAACAAGTACCCAGCAAAAAAAAAAAAAATTAAGTTAACAAGTACAGTGTATAAATCTAATCTTTCACTAATTAAATGCTAGTGGAGTTATAAGGCGGTGGCACCATAGTGGGTACATTTTCGACGGCAAATAGCTAGCAGATGAATTGACTCATGGAGGGAAGAATCATCGCCCGCACAACATAACATTATGCTCAGTGGAGCAACGTATGAACTAATAAATGAATGTCACGTACTTTCCTTAAAAAGTGATAGAGATATAAAATGTTTTTAATGATGAATGCACATAAGTATATATATTTCAATTCGTCTGGGATAAAAAATAAAAATGTCCCTCTTCTTCCAACAAATTATATATGATATTAGTGCACCGTGCCCAAATCGATCACTATCAGTAGTGGCTAGGCTACTTGCATGATTATCATCATGCACTTGCAAATTCAATTCAATTCAACCATTATTGCATTCTATTCTGCTCTTCTATTTAAATTCAATGTACGTAAAGTATCATAGCTGCAAAGCAAAGCAAGCTAAGCATTCCAACAATGGCCGCGGTTGACAGCTGCAGCGATTTCAGAGTGGATTTCATCACAGAATCTGTAGTCAAAACTGTTGGTCTCACACCCAAACCTTACATTCTCACCCTCTCAAATCTCGACCTTTTGTCCGGCCGCTTTCCGGTCACCTATTTATACTTCTTCCGCAGCCCAAACCAGTTTCATTCATCATCGCCAAAAATCATTGACAACTTGAAAGCTTCACTTTCCCAATGCCTCTCTCGTTTCTACCCTTTCGCCGGCCGAATAGTGCCAAATCCAAAGACCGATGAGCCTGAAATCTTGTGTGACAATCGTGGCGTTTTGGTCGTGGAAGCACAGGCGAATATTCGTTTGAAAGAGCTCGAATTCTACAATCTCAACAAGTATGTGGAGAGGGGAAAGCTAGTCCCGGCCTTCCGCCAACGCGGCGGCGACGATTTCGCGGTGCAGATTCAAATCACACGGTATACCTGCGGAGGCTTGTGTTTAACGTTCACGTTTGACCATGCCTTGGGAGATGCGAGTTCCTTTGCCAAATTTCTGACCACTTGGTCGGAACTAGCGACCAACAAGCCTCCCTCTTGTTCTCCGGACCACCGGAGATTTCTCCTCCGGCCAAGGTTTCCTCCCAGGTATAACACATCCTTGGACGAAACCTTCGTTTCCTGCTCCCTTGACGACATACTCAACATGCGGCCGCCGCCTACACTACTCTCATCTATCATGCTCAAGCGCCTTTATTATATCGACGCATCAAGCATCCACAAACTCCAAAAACTGGCTTCTGAAGAAGACGATGGAATTGGAACCAGCAGGAGGCGGACAAAAATCGAGGCATTCTCGGCTTATATATGGAAGGTTATGGTGAATGCCGTCGACAAAAGCCATAACAAGTGCAAGATGGGATGGTTGGTTGACGGGCGGACAAGAATTCCAGGAATTATGTCGGATTACATAGGCAATGTTCTGTCTCTAACCTTCGGAGAACTGAGCATGGATGAACTGAAACACGGGACCATATCTAAAATCGCGAGCCATGTTCACGCGGCAATCTCTACAGCAACAAACGCGGAGCATTTTTTGGATTTGATTGACTGGATAGAGTGCCATAGGCCAGGGCTGATGCTGTCGAAGATGGTGTTAGGGCGAGATGGCCCCGGCGCGGCGATTGTAGTGTCATCAGGACGGCGGTTTCCGGTGGGCGAACTGGAGTTTGGGTTCGGGAGTCCGGTTCTTGGAACAGTTTGCTCCACCATAGAAAGGATAGGAGTTGGGTACGTCAATCAAAGGCCAAGTGCCAGAGGTGACGGGTCTTGGACGGTGTCCGCTATCTTGTGGCCGGACATGGTGGCTGCACTTGAGTCCCATTCAGAATGTATTTTTCAGCCCATCACTGCTCACGATCTGCACTTATCATGACTTCAATCTTGTCATTCAATAATATAAACTCTCAAAGTGAGGGGCTTCCAGGTCTAGTTTGTGTGATTCATGTTCACTTGAATTACCATAATTTATATCCTCTCAAATGCTTTGTCAGGTTGGGACGGCAAATTATGCTATGCGCAGGTGCGCACGACTCTAAAACGGCATCATTTTCAGGGAAAACGACGCTGTTCTAACTAAAAAAATAAATAAAAATTGTTCGAAAGGCCGTTAACCGCGTTAACAGTATATTCGTTATGAAATTATGAATGTACAGTTATAGAATTATGAATATATAGTTATGAAATTATGAACATAGAGTTTCGAAAATTATGAATGTTCGGTATGGAATTATGAATATACAGTATGGAATTATGAATGTACAGTTATATAATTATGAATGTACAGTTATGGAATTATGAATGTACAATTATGAAATTATGAACACAGAACTCTGACATTATGAACTTACAATTATGAACATAGAGTTTCGAAAATTATGAATTTACAGTTATTGAATTATGAATGTACAGTTACGGAATTATGAATGTACAGTTATGGAATTATGAATGTATAATTATAAAATTATGAACACAAAGCTATTAATATATGCTCCTATAACGAAGCGGTCTGAAATTAAATAAAATAATAAAAAAAGATAACGATGCCTGACGGCACCGTTACCGTGCCCATGATGCACGCTGGGCACGAGTCCACAGCATAACGCCTCGTGTGGAACCCTTAGAGCTTAGGGTTGGTTCAACCTTTTAAAAGAATAATATAAACTCTCACTGAAAAATTAAATGCTAAATTTCATCAACCGGCCCAAATCTACCCAATATAGTATCTGTTCATAATTACTTTATTAGAAAGTGTCAATACTATCTTCATTGAGATAAAATCTATAAACTTCCATTAAGAAAAGTCACTTTGTGCCTCTACACCATAATGTACCAGAGGATTGTATTCAATTTTATCAAAATTTCACTTATATTGAAATGTATAAAAAAAAATATGATAATGCTATTAATGATTGATGGAATAAAATAAAGATATTTTTGAATTTTAGGTTTACAATTATAAAAATAGGAACAAAATTTATGTTTTTTTTTTTTTTTTTTTGGTTTAAATAATGCTGGTAGTGTCTTGTTATGTCAAAAGAGGAAATAGGAAGATGATTAATTATTTAATATGATCAAAATATTATTACTATTTTAATTTTATGATGGAAATATCAGAACAGGAGATAATGAATTTTTTGGGGTAAAGTTTACTATTCAAATACAATGGAGGGGCTAAAAAATTATATTTTACCTTATTAAATAATTTGGGGGAGGAAAAAGTAAATTCAGTTGGTGCGTCCGTGAGGGAATGAATATTCAGAGGCGGAGAGTCACCGCCGCGACGACCGTAGACGCAACGATTGCCGACCGTTGATACCGCCGGCACACCGTCACAACTGATGGTCGACTTTATAAATGCACCTGATGGTCCTGTAAGCAACTCAGGTGAGTAAAAATGAATTTACTCGTAGCTGATTGGAATTGAAATTGAAATTGGGTGAGGTTATTATTATTTAATCTCATAATACTGATTCTCTGGCCTAGGCCTAGGCCTCCACACCAATCTGCTTCTACTACTCAATAGAGTTTGCGGTTTCATTCATCATCAACCTATTTGTCACAACTGTGTTTGCTAAGGCATTCTTTGGGACTGACCAGGCTAGCAGCATTCGTCTGGGGAATGCTGTCCTGGGCAGTATTGTGTTTTAAAATCTTTAGAATTTAATTTGATTTATATATTTTTGAGTTTGCTTTGAGATCATGCAACTTTATGTTTCCTTAAGTTGGTTTTGTTTGTCAAATAGTGAGTAAAGCTGTAAAGAAGCAGCTGATGTAGTCTGCTTTGCCCATAGTTAAGTTCATTTCTATTTATTTTGATTTTAACAAACATGTGTGCACTTCAAAATCATACCGTAGTATATAATTTTGTCCCTTCATGAAGTTGTTTTGCTTTCAAGTATTGATTTGACCTGGAGAAGAAACTGCTAATGCAATCTGATTTTGCTAAAAGTTTTTAGTTGCTGAAATGCTACCAAACCAAAATGAAGTTTGAAACTGAACTTATTCAAACCGAACCGAACTACAATGTTAATCCGAATGGTTTCATTTTTTCAAAACTGAACATACCGAAACACCCACCCATATCTATGAGTTTCCACATCTATGCAGTTAAATTGTGTAATTCAAGCTAATTTTACGTGTTTTTATTCGGGCAATTCGGAAAAGACTAATCAACTACGTGCTCAGGGGCATTTTTCACTTGATGTCGTCTTCCATTAGTGCCTCAAGCCCATGGGGTATCCTTTCTATGAATAAAGTCCTATTTAGAGTCTCCTGAGCCATCATAGCTAGACATTGGCACATTCATTCCTTTTAGAATACAGTTGGTTTATGTCATTGATCATTTCACCTGAATTAGCATCTGACAATCTAACACAAGCATGTTTCTAGAGCATGTCTAGTGATCGCCTTTTTTTTTTTTGGTATACAACCAGGTGTTCGCTCATCCGAGTTACCTGGGACTAGTTTCAAGAGCTCTGCTGCAATCACTTTTTCCTGATCATTGCATTTCCAGCTGCTAGGATTCTTGAGAATGATATTGAAATTTAAGCACTTCCAGCATTTCTGGCGTTTACAGAGTAGAGAAGGTTTGAACTTGTGTAGAAATAATGTTTACTGTGGTGAAGGGAACACGATGTTGACCAATACACTATGCACAGTGACGGGGATGAGTGAAGTTGATAAGCTGCCTAAGATGACCGAGTCTCCAGAGCTTCCAGGTTGGGTTAAATTACCAGGGAAAAGCAAACAGGATACTGATATGTCTGAGGATGATGATTTTGTAATTCCTTCATTGTGGAGCTGGATTGAAAATGACAAGTTTCAGAGGCAAGAAGTTGGTGCCAACAGTTTGAAAAGTGACATTGTTGATGTTGATAAGATTGGTGAAACCTTGAAAAATCATTTCAAGTCACCTGATGCTGTTGTTCAAGCATTAGGTGCCTGCAATATTGATGTGTCTGAGGATTTGTTAGAGAAAATTCTCAAAAGATTCAGCTGTGAGTGGATTAAATCTTATGGGTTTTTTAAATGGGTTAAACAGCAGTCAAAGTTTAAGTTTTCCCCTGATTTGTACAATCTGATGATCGATAACCTAGGGAAGGCAAGGAACTTTGTTGTAATGTGGGAATTAGTGAAAGAAATGAGTGATTTACAAGGGTATGTTACGTTGGATACAGTCACTCTTGTCATTAGGAGGCTTGCAAAGGCTGGGTACTATGAAGATGCAGTTGAAGCAATGTCAAGAATGGAGCAATTTGGAATCCAGAAAGATACATGTATGGTGAATATATTGATTGATGCATTGGTAAAGGGAGGAAGCGTGGAGCGTGCATATGATGTTTATTTAGAAGAAAAAGTTCATATAGCTCCAAATCTTCGTACATTCAATGTGTTAATCCATGGGTGGTGCAAAATTAGGCAGACCGAGAAAGCCAAGAGGACCATCCAAGAGATGGTGCGACATGGTTTTGCTCCAGATCCTGTTACTTACACTTGCCTTATTGAAGCCTATTGTCGTGAAAAAGATTTTCGCAAAGTTGATGCTACTCTAGATGAAATGCGGAAGAAGGGGTGCCCTCCAACTGTGGTTACATATACAATAGTTATAAAATCCCTTGGACATGCAAAGGAAGTTAACAAGGCTTTAGAGATATATGAGAAAATGAGGGAAAGTGGTTGTGTTCTTGATGCTAATGGTTACGGGGTTCTAATTAACATCCTCTATAACTCTGGGAGACTCAATGATTCCAGTGATGTATTTGAGGATATGTCAAAACAGGGAATCACTCCTCACCTGCTGACATTCAATACTATGATCCGTTATGCTGCTAAGAACTTGAAAGAAGAGGAAGCTCTCACATTACTTAAGAAAATGGAAGAATGTCAATGCAAGCCCGACCTTAACACATATGCACCATTGTTGAAGATGTGTTGCAAACTGAAAAGAATCAAAGTATTGTCCTTTTTGCTGAACCACATGTACAAGAATGATCTCAGCATGGATCTTGGGACATATGCTCTTTTGATTCGTGGGCTAAGCAGGATTGGGAAACATGAGCAGGCTTGTTCCTTTTTTGAGCAATTAGTTCTTAAAGGAATTTTACCAACAGACACCATCTACACCAAACTGGTTCAAGAATTTGAGAAAAAGGGCCTTCATAAAGAAAAGGAACGGATCAATCAACTGATGATTGAAGCTAAACTGCACACTTCTGAAGATAAACAGCATGGTTCAAGTTTTCTGGGCATTCAAAGTTCAACAAGGATCAAGTAAAGCTACTCTTTGTGGTCCATATTCTTAGATAGAAGGTAGTTTTTAATTTCATCCCTTTAAATAGCATAGCTACTTTCAAGAACACAATTGACCTTTATGGCAACTTGGCAACAACCTCTTAGGAAAGCCAGAACATCCAAGCTAAGTTTAGTAGATGGTTTGATTTAATTTTAGTGACTTGAAATGGGGTGTTATTTCCATTTTGTGTCCCTTCGTGGTAAGGTGGCATGAAATGCTGGTGACTTTTGCATCCGTGCTAGTTCACCTATTACTAGTTGCTTGTAGGAAATATGCATGCTTAAACATTAATGAAAATCCCATGTTCTTTAAGCTTATGTTCACGTACTTTCTTAACCTCTCAGGTTTTCATTCTTTTTACATTTTGGATTATGGCACTGCATATGAAGTTGTGATTGTGTGTATTTGTGATTTGTCTCTTTGTGTGTGTGTGTGTTTTTTTTTTTTTTCCTTTTTAAGTGAGAAATTGGAATCAAAGAATGATTCCAGAGTGGGTCCTATTTTTTGTTGGCATTCACCACACAGGTAACCCCATCCAAGATTAGTAGAAGAGAGCAAAATGTGCCAATTGGAGTGAGGATATCTTACCTTATCCACACTCCTACCACAACCTTGATTACACTCACTTTCACACCACTCCACATCACCCACCCTCCTTAAGTAATCATAAACCCAAAAATTAAAATAACAATAAATAAAAAGAAAACCAAAATTTCTCATCAATCTAGCTTTCTCGATCTATAGTGATAATGGCTGCCATGAACTCCAGTGTATTGGCATGCAGCTAT